GATATTAGGTCATTCATTCAAATGATCTTTCCCCCCAGAAGGACCTGAAGGGGGTCACTGGACAGTGGGTGGTCTAGGTTTCTGTTCTGGACCTGATTCTGGTGTCTGATCGTCACCAAGGGATTTTTTTTTTAGACTAAACCCTGAGAATAATGTCCTCAAACCTCAGTTTCAGTGGCCGTATTTTATTTGATATTTTTTGAATTGTTTAAGGCTTACAGCCAGCAGAATCCAAACCGTCACAACCCAACTCCCCTGAAACAAACCAGTTCACATTGTGTGGATTTCAACACTTAATGAAGGTGTTTGATCAGAACTGTAGCACCGGTGCTGCAGACATTTCATCCTTTTTTTTACAGACATTAAATCATCATCCAGCAGAAACATCTGGACAAATATTGACTCTAAGCTTGGAAGGATCGTGTTATTACTGGTGTTTATCAGTAGTTTACTGCAGCTTGAATAGCAGGAAAAAAAAAAAACGGGTCTATGTTCAGTTCGTAGAAACGTTTGAATGTGGTCCTCCGTCAGGCCAGGTTAAAGCCTTGATTGTGATCTATCGCTTGTAAAAGTTTCTCGCGGAGCGTCTCCTTGCTCGTGTACTTGGGGAGGTCGAGCAGGTTGAAGCAGGTGTGGGCGACGGGCAGGTAGTCCTCGCCTCCGCCCGTGGGCTGGATCACCAGCTTCAGACTCTTCATGCCCAGGATCGGGATGCGGTCGCTTCCTGTGAGGAACACTGCGGACAGAAACAGAACAAATCCATCAATTGGTCCATGTTTTTTTGTGGGGGGGAACCCCAGTTTGTCCAGACTTACAGAGAAACTGTTTCTTCTTCTCCAGGGGGAGATCGTGGAACACCTCCCAGAAGAGCTTTATGGTTGGATGATCCGCCCAGTACACTCCTTTATACTCGGTTCCCTGCAGAGACCAAACCCAGCATCAACAACTGACAAAGTCACAAGTATCATCAGACTTTATTGTATATTTTATATTAAATAAGGAAAGATTCAGACGCTGTTCAGCCAATTAAAGCAGTTAAAGAACATCGTCTGGTTTATGACACACCAAGCCAATGGGTGGTGCTGTTACTCCAGTTAGATGGATTTTAATTAATATTTATTAAAACATTTTCATAATCAGGATTTCCATTCACTCCCAGTCAAGGTGGAGGGACAGTTTTCCCCAGAAAGAGGCGGAGCTTTGTGTAGAAGATAAGCACTGATTGGTTCATTGAGCTTTAAGAGATCTTCCATTGTTGTAATGTTAAACATTATTTGTTTATTAAACAATGAAAGCAAAACTAAAACTACTGTAGGCTGTTGAGTTGTAATAAATTAATAACCATGGATCCCGAGCGCTAACACCATGCATATGTATTAGTAATACAAATATGGCATTAGCTCCAGAGCTAATAATAGCTAATATTAGCTCGAGAGCTAATGCCAYAGCTAATTAGTTTTGGAGATAATGTCACATATACACTCACCGGCCACTTTATTAGGTACACCACGCTAGTAACGGGTTGGACCCCTTTTGCCTTCAGAACTGCCTCAATTCTTCGTGGCGTAGATTCAACAAGGTGCTGGAAGCATTCCTCAGAGATTTTGGTCCATATTGACATGATGGCATCACACAGTTGCCGCAGATTTGTCGGCAAATCAGGCTCAGTTTCTGAAATACTCAGACCAGCCCTTCTGGCACCAACAACCATGCCACGTTCAAAGG